TACACTCAACCTCACTTGGAATACTTGTTACTCCTTTTTTTTTTCCTATGTACGTAGCAAAAAAGGAGTAACACGTATTCCAAGTGAGCTCCTCAAAATATTGTTGATATTTTCGGTTCATATTTTGCAAGTGTTATATGAAAAAGGAGGCCCCTGTGCCAAAATTAATAATGTTTACATCAACAGCCCTTATATTCATATTAATTCTGTTTCTGAGCAGGAAGTCATTGAAGCCATAAAAAGCTTAAAAAACAAACCGACCGCCGGAACAGATCAAATACCTCCCTTTTTAATTAAAGATTGCTCTTGTATTCTAACATATCCTTTAACAATTTTGTTTAACTTATCTTTAAAACAATGGACTTTTCCAGCTGTTTGGAAAGTTGCTAAGATGTACCCGATATTAAAAACAGGTTTGGCATCTAAAGTTGAAAATTATCGCCCCATATCTATTTTATGCAACTTCTCCAAAGTTTTTGAAACAGTACTATACAAAAAACTTTATCAACAATTTAACACGCAGTTGTCTAGTTACCAGCATGGTTTCGTTCCCAATAGATCAACTGTTACAAATTTAACTTGCTTTGTGCAATATTGTTCTGAAGCACTAGATAATAGACAGCAAGTTGATGTTATTTACACAGATTTCAGCAAAGCCTTCGATAAAATTGATCATAACATTATTTTCAACAAGCTTGTCGAATATGGTTTCAGTTGCCTTATTGTTCATTTAGTGAAGTCATATCTAACTAAACGACGTCAATTTGTTTCCTATAACGGGCATGACTCACAATCATTTATTCCTACATCTGGAGTGCCGCAAGGGTCAACTCTTGGTCTTTTTCTCTTTTTAATATTCATTAACGATTTACCCTCCGTTATTTCAACTCAGAGATTATTGTTTGCGGATGACTTAAAAATTTTCACTAGGGTCACAGGCCACAAGGATTGCGAGAGCCTTCAAAGCGATTTAGAAAGTTGGTGTAACGCAAACAGGTTGTACCTGAACATTGATAAATGCAAGGTGGTAACTTTTTCACGCAAGCGTCAATTAATCCGATACAATTATCAAATTCAAGATACACCGTTAAAAAGAGACACTCAAACAAAGGATTTAGGGGTTCTGTTCGATAACATCCTAACATTTAGCTTACACATTGATACAATTGTTAGGCAATCTTTTAAAACCTTAGGTTTTATTATACGCATTGGTTCAGATTTTGCAAATTTGTCAACTATTATACTACTTTTTTCCACATTTGTACGAAGCAAGCTTGAATATGGTGTACTAGTATGGAATCCAGCATTTAAAAAACACGAAGAATGCCTAGAACGTATACAACGTCGTCTTTTAAAATATGTAGCATTTCGCTGTGATGGATACTACCCTACAAGAGGCTACCCACAAAATCTACTGCTAGAAATATTCAATCTTTTACCCTTAAGTAGCAGACGTAAAAGAATAAGTGTGTCGTTCTTGTACAAATTATTATGGAATGAAATTTGATTGTGTCACATTACACAATTATTTAAATTTCTCTGTGCCTCGTTCTTCCTCCAGCCGTTTCCTAACTTTTAAATTACCCTATTGCAGAACAAATCTCTTACAAAATTCCCCAATTTATCGAATGTGTCATAATTATAACTCGGTATGCGATACTGTTGATATTTTTAACACTAATTTAAAATTCCTTATAAGTATGATCCAATAATTTTTGTCTTTTTCTTTTTTGCTTTTGCCATTGCACTAATACAATTTCTCTTATTTACCAATATTGTATTTTGATTTATGACTTTATTTTGTTTATTGTATAACTCTGTTAACAATTTTCTTTCGCTTTAGTTATAAATCTATCATTATTATTTTTGTTACATTTTGTTAATTTTTCTATATTTCTGTGCGACTTTTATTGAACAATATTTAAGTTTGTCCTGTATTTAGACTAGATAGTCTGTTTGGACAATAAATTACTATTACTATTATTAATTATTATTATTAATTAAAAACGTCAAAAATGCAAAAATTCATTCTTTCTGACCGGTTGTCGGCGTCCAATATGCATTCATATGGTCAAGTTAACATTTAAGTATGTGGGAACCTCCAGCAGCGCCATATGCCTGGGGCCTAAATATCAAGATGGCGCCTGGAAAGTCCAAAACCAGTGAAAAAGTCGTTCTTTTTGCCGTAGTTTTACTACACTGGCCACTCTTTACGTTCGCTGTTCATTTTAGTGTTCTGGAAGATTATTTTGAGTAATTGCGACTGCCATCCCGGACGTAATACACCCCCACGAGAGGGGGGTGGAATTATCATCTCCAACCGAACGGATTCGCGAAACTATCAATCTGTGCACTCGCGTGTTGTTGTGCGTCTTCGTCGGCGCCGCTCCTGAAGTTCGTCTGTTTCGCTTCGATGGCGTCTTCCACCTACGCCCGATATATATATTTTAACAAGTTTTATTCTGTAATTTCCTTAAGCCAGATGATGACCGTTGGTCGAAACTAGTCGTGGCTTTTACAATTTGTCTATTAAAATCGAGATTAAAATAGTATGGGGAAGGATTTGTGTCTTTTTAGGATTTAACCTGGAATTTCTAACATTAACATTAAGCTCGTTCATACTAATCTAACATGATATCACATTACATTCTAACGCATGAAGATGCTCTATTTAAACGTTAGGCCACATCTCTATTGATCGTAGAATGGTGCTCACGTCTTCTTTCGCGGTGGTGACTTCCATTTGACTGTTTCAGTTTTCCCTAGGCCATGCAGCATGAATCATCCTCTGGTGGTGATTTTAACAGTACCTAGTCTATGTGTAATATGCCAAAAACAATCCAGAGAGAAAACGTCAGTGCTTCAAGAGACAACGTTTAACTCTGTAACGTTCTTATTCTTGCATAATACCTTCTTCATAGTATTAGTGCTCAATATTCTAAACAGTTTCGACTGCCAAGTGTTACGTTTTAATTAAAAAAAAATTAAAGAAAACTTGGGAAGCATGTTTTAATATATTTGCCCTCAAATTACGCCGCCAAACCAACTTCTGCCTCTTGGTTCCATAGTTAAAGTTTATAGGAGACGAGTCCCCACTTCCGCAGTTAAGCCCTTCAGTTGTGTAACATCCAGAATGATATTCGCAATTCTCATATTATGGCTCCAGGCCATCGAAATGGGGAATGTGTGGCCAGTGTAGTAAAAATACGGCAAAAAGAACGACTTTTTCACTGTTTTTTGGACTTTCCAGGCGCCATCTTGATATTTAGGCCCCAGGCATATGGCGCTGCTGGAGGTCCCCACATACTTAAATGTTAACTTTACCATATGAATACATATTGGACGCCGACAACCGGCCAGAAGAAAAAATGACGAATTTTTGCATTTTTGACGTTTTTAAACGGAGTTTTGGCATTTAGGCCCCTAATATGAATACGAAAGTGTGCCTAAACGATGTCGACGTGTGTACTAGATCATATTCTACCCTTAAACTACCCAAAACGTTCAGTGGCGTGCCTTGTGGTCTCGAAATAACCGAAAAACGGTAATTTCGCCCGCCATCTTGGATTTAAGGGCTTAAATGCCAAAATCGGGTCTGGCAACAGGGCGCATCGTTTTCAGCGGGGGCCAATTAGTCTAGAACCGCCTGTTGCCAGTTTGTAGCACAAAACGCCGTTAGACATGCACTTTTCAGAAATGTCTCCCTGACTAAGTAATTGGTTTGTGTTGGATCTACAGAAGTCGTACTTATATTACCTAACATTTACATAAAAAAGAGAAAATCTGAATTAAACTAAAAACGTTACTAAATTTTTCAATTTAAAATTTAAAAAAATCTGTATACACCTTAATACATACATATAATTACTCCAAAATATTCGTACTGGACAATTCTCTTTAGGAATATTTGGTCCCTCGATAAAGTCCCTCCCTTCCTGGAATATTCATCTCGGATTCATCGCATAATATCCACCGCGAAGAAAATCCACCACCAAATTATTAACTTCCTGAATATTCACAACTAGGAATATTCTCCGCACCTGGATTACGCGACTACATCTATCTGGGCTAACTTTCTTGGACGAATTAATTAACGAAACTTGTACTTTCATACAGAACAGTTCTACCTGCACCATTGTCATTTACTTTTAGGTCAAGTTAAACGAAGCAGATGTTTTTGGCTCTATTTTTAGGCACTTGATTGACTTCATTGAACTGTGGAGTACAAAACTCTTTAGTGGAAACGATTCGAAACGGTTCAGCATAAAATGAGCACTATATTCACCTTTTTGCCCTGATTTATAAAAATTGGCAGAGTATGCGATCTTTTATTGTAATTGGACAGTTGAATAAACACACAATTTAAATATTTGCACCAATAATATACACGCGATGTTCCCAATTAACTCGATCTCGATTTTGTTAGCATAAAAAACGGTAGAATGGTGAAAATGAGTCGAATCCGATTGTATTTTATTCAACCATATTAATCGCCGAAGACTAACCCCGATTAATGATTTTTCTCTCAGATGTAAAATGACATTTCTGTAGAAAAATAGCGCTGGTAACAATGCACATGTAATTTATTTAACATAGAAAAATACGAGTACATCTTCTTGATGTTTATATTTACATGGTTCTAAATGAAGTCCTAATTTTACATAATTTATTAAGCCAGGTAAACTCGCTGACAATAAGCGGGAATGCGCTAAGTGGGGGTGCGCGCTGGCTACAATGGATACCCTTAAACTAGTTTTTAAACATAGCCCCCTCTTTGAAGGGAACCTTCAAAAGTACAAATAACATATAGTTAAAACACCTTATTGAACATGAGAAAGAGTATAATAAATTAGACATAGTTAAATATTAATATCAATTTTTCATAAAAAAAAACTTCCTAACACTAAGAACAAGAACGCTATCTACACATATTGTTTTTCACTGTACACTACGAGGCTAACGAGTCGACGGTTGTCTTTGTCTATAATACAACTTGTCGTCTAATCGGCTACAACTGGTAATGGGCACAAGTGTCGTGTAGACCTTTTGATGAGTCCGTGTGATGTGGTGATTTCTGCTACTCGAGGTACGTCATCTGGGCCACGTATTAACTTCGATATTCTTCCTAATGCCCATTTGTTGGGCGGTTGGTGTTTATCCTGAATCAGCACTAAACTGCCGATATGTAATTGTTGGCCTGAGCCGGTTTTCCACTTGTAAGTTTGATGTAATTGATGAATATATTCTTTGGAAAAACGGGTCCAAAAATGTTGACGCAGCTGTTGTACGTATTGCCACCGAGACAGTCTGTTTTGTGGTATACTTTCGATTCCGGGTGTCGGAACAGCGGTAATTGGTCGTCCAATTAAGAAATGGGCAGGTGTGATGGGTTCGAGATCATTAGGATCGTTAGACATTGAACTTAAAGGTCTTGAATTTAAAATGCTCTCAATTTGAGTTAACAGAGTGGAGAATTCTTCAAAAGTTAAAACGGAAGTGTTCATTACTCGTTTCAAATGAAACTTCATGCTTTTAACCGCTGCTTCCCACAGCCCTCCAAAATTTGGACTATAAGGGGGGATATAATGCCAGCTGATATTAAAGTTAGTTGCATAAGTCAATATTGAATTTTGGTTATTAGTTACAAATTGACCCAATTCTTTTAATTCGTTATTTGCGCCTCGAAATGTTGACGCATTATCCGAGTATATATGAGTAGGAATACCACGTCTACCAATAAATCGTTTGAGGCATCCAAAAAAGCATTCAGTTGACATATCGCTTAATAATTCTATATGAATAGCCTTATAGGTAAAACAAATAAATATACATATATAACATTTGTGAATTTTGGCTCCTCGCCCTTTTCGGTCTTTCCATTGGAAAGGGCCTGCATAGTCAATTCCAACCACTTGAAATGGCAAGCATTGTGAGATTCTATTATTTGGTAAAGCACCCATCGGAGCAATACCTGCAATTGGTTTGAATTTGAAACATCGTATACAAGTTCTAGTTGTCTGTTTAGCTAAATTTCGTCCAGATATTGGCCAATATTTTTGTCTTACTAACGACAATAATAATTGCGGACCAGGATGCAAATGCTTCAAATGCTCGTGGCGAAAAATTAGTTTGGTAAAATTGTGCTTACTGGATAACAAAATGGGATGTTTGACATCTGGAGGTAATGAGGTATATTTTAACCGCCCCCCTACTCTTAATAATCCGTTTTCATCAACAAAAGGTGTTAACCCTTGTAATTTGTTCTTGTCTCCTAGCATTCCTTTTGTTTTCAAATGTTCGACGTCTTCAGGGAATGACTGTTTCTGACAAATTTTTATTAACTTTATAAATGCTTTATTAATTTCCATTGCTGTTAAAGGACCTGTTACTTTCAAATTGGTTCGTTTTGAGTTGTTAATGAACCGTAAGCAATACGAAAAAACATGCTTTAATTTGGTTAAGTTAGAGTATCTATCAAAAATATTAAATTCGTTTTCAGTCAATGTAGTAACGGGAAATATTTTGTACGTTTGTTTTCGAACTTCTGGAAGTTGATCTACTGGTACATTAAATAAAGTTACCGGCCAGTTCGATTCTGATTGATACAAAAATTCAGGACCGTTCCACCATATATTACAATCGTTTATTTTGTTTGGTAATAGACCACGCGAAGCTACATCAGCAGGATTGTGTTTTGTGTTAACATATCGCCATTGATTGATTTTGGACAAATTCTGAATTTTCGTTACTCTGTTTGATACAAAGGTCTCTAATAAGTTGGGTTCCATTTTTACCCAGTGTAAAACGACTTGTGAGTCTGACCAAAAGTATATTGGAACGTTGCTTGCCAGAGCTGCCTGTACCTGCTGATATAATTGTGCACCTAAAAGTGCCGCACACAATTCTAAACGGGGTATCGAAATCGTTTTTACAGGCGACACTTTTGTTTTAGAACAGACTAACCTTACTCGAAATTCGTTTGAGGAACTGGTACTTCTCAGGTAAATGCAAGTAGCATATGCATCTTTAGAAGCGTCACAAAAACAATGGATATCCATTTCTCGAAATTGTTCACCTACTACATTTCGGGGAATCGATATTGAATTTAGTTTTAATAATTGTTGTCGAAACATAAACCATTGGGTAGCTAATTCGATTGGGATTGGTTTATCCCATGATAATTTTAATTGCCAAAGTTTTTGTATCATAATTTTTGGTATGATTACGCAGGGACTTAGTAAACCTAATGGGTCATATATTTGTGCGATTTCTGATAGTATCACTCTTTTCGAAATTGGTTTGTTTTGTAGTTGCGAATCCGAAATATTGTATTTTAATTCATCAGTGGAGCTAACCCACTGTACGCCTAACAATTTAGAGTATTCGTTAACCCCTAATCTTAACACGCCTAAAGAATCATCCTTGCTATTAACACTAATATTTTTTAATAACTCAGGGCTATTTGAAACCCACTTTCTTAGTACGAATCCAGCTGACTCTAACATATTGGCTATTTCCTCACAACGTCGTTGTAAAGTGGATAGGTTATTACAGCCGGTAATGAGATCATCAACATAAAAATCATTGAGAATAATATGTGATGCTTCTGGAAATCTATCTTTATTTTGAATTGCAAGGGTTTGTAAACATTTGATTGCTAAATAGGGTGCCGATTTCGTACCATACGTCACGGTATTTAATTCAAAAATTGAAAAATCATCGTGTGGGCTCTCCCTCCATAAAATACGTTGCAATGGTGTGTATTTTGAATCCATTAATATCTGTCTGTACATTTTCATAATATCGCTGGAGACAACAAATTGGTGGATTCTAAATCTTAGCAGAATATCAAAAATATCATTTTGCACCTTAGGCCCTGTATATTGTAGGTCATTTAAAGACCACCTGCTATCAGATGAACATGAACCGTCGAAAACTACACGTAATTTAGTGGATAAGCTGTCATTTTTTACGACACCATGGTGGGGAAGATAGAACGTTTTTTGTTTTTCTTTGTGAATAGAACTTCCGATTGTACCGACTTTACTCATATGTCCCAAATTGATATATTCGTGTATAAAATTGGTATATTGAATGCGTAACTCGTTATTCAGTGCAAATTTTCTTTCTAAATGCTGAAAACGTTTAATAGCTGTCTGCAATGAATCGCCTAATAAATTTACGGAATATTTTAATGGAAGAGAAACCACAAATCTACCATCCTTATTTCTAGTGGTTGTCTTACTGAAAATATTGTCACATTCGCGATCATCTATGGATAATGAATCGTTATGCTTAGGTACGTCTTCCAACTCCCAGAACTTTGTTAATTGCTCATCTTCGACATTAATTGTTTGCACAAAATTACAAATTGATTTAGATGAAGAATGAATCGGAGCATTTCCACATACAACCCAGCCCAATTTTGTGTTTTGAAGTGTCGGAGATTGCTTTCCCAGGGGTATTTTACCTTCCGTCAATAAATCCCAAAACAAACTAGCCCCTATTAAAACATCTATTTCACCAGGTTCATGAAAATTTGGGTCTGCTAAATTGATATTTGATGGTAATATTAAATTGGATAATGGTATTTGATGTCCTGGTATTTTAGTGGAAATTGTAGGAATGACGTGACACGAGAGTGAGGTTTTAAAGCTATCAAATCTAGACATAATATTTACACTACACCGTTTTGTTAAATTTGATATCTTTTGATTAATACCTACAATTGATAGATTTGACAAATTTAACGGTAGCTGTAATTTTTTGTAAAATCTTTCACTGATTAAATTCGATTGTGCGCCACTGTCCAAAAGTGCACGGCATAAATGGGTTTTTCCCGAAACGTCTTTAGTATTGACCAAAACCGTTGACAAAAGAACTTGAGTTTGTGATGTAATTGGTCTGGTTAATAAATTGGTTTCAATATTTTCAACAACAGTTTCGTATGGTTGACTAGAATTGCCCTTAATTCCCGCGGTTTCCTTTTCTAGATGCAAAAGTGTGTTGTGATACCTCTTACATTTTTTACAAGGACCAAAGAAGCATTTGTAACGAGCATGACCGGTTCTCAAACAATTTTCACATAATTGCAACTCTTTTACCTTTTCCAATCGCGTGGGAACATCTAACTTTAAAAAATTGTCACATTGGTATATCAAATGCTGCCTTTTGCAAAAATTACATTTGGGTACACTATTTACAGATAAATTTAAAGAAGAAGTATTTTGTTGGGACGACTTATTATGACTCAAATGTTGTGTACCTGTACTTTGGCCGTTGCATTGTATTGTTTCGAGTAAATCCGCTTTCCCTTTTAAAAATTCCATAAATTCTTCAAGTGTAGGCAAATCACCCTGGGTATTGTTCTCGTTCCAATCCCGGTATGTGACCTTGTCCAACTTGTTTGAAATAACATGAATTATGAATAATTCCCATAATTTGCTTTTGTCTAATTTTAACCCTTCTAGCGCTGTTAAATGTTTCGATACGCTATCTAATAGAAATCTAACTTGCTTAGGAGATTCCTTTTGAACTGATTGCAAATTAAAGATGGAATTTAAGTGATTATTAATTAACATTTTTTTATTATCAAATCGGGAACATAACAGATTCCAGGCGCAATTATAATTGTGGTCTAGAAATTCAACATTGTCTATAATACGTTTTGCGTATCCCTCAAGAGACGCCCTTAAAAATTGAAATTTTTGTGTATTTGTTAATTGATTATTAGTATGTATAATAGAAATAAATGATGTTTTAAATTCGAGCCAATATTCATAATCACCTTTAAATGTAGGCAATTTGATTTTGGGTAAAATGACCCCTTGTAAGGAGTCTTTAAAAATGTTGGAATTGACTTGCGGGGTTGAAGATGAAGGAGTATTTTCATCAATGAAGGTCTTTAATTTGCCAAGAACTTTACAGTACTTTGTTTCAAATTCCTCGCGTTCAATAAATTGATTATCTAAATCGGAATCCTCACACAATCCATCGATTTGTAATTGAATTGCGTCAAATTCTTTAGAAAGAGATTGGTAATGCTCATATTTAAATTTAACATCAGCTAGCAATGGGACGTTATCTGAGAATGAATTGACGTATTTTTCTAAAATTGTTAATTTTTGTTTAATTGAGCCTCTACTTCGAATTAATAGTTTCAAATTTTCTGCCATTATAACTTTTGAAGGATATTGTTATCGTTGTTAATAAACTTGTAAATAATTTGATAAATTGTGAATATACAAACAAGCAAGACCTTTAGGACAATAGTTAACACAATGGAATAGAAATGGAAAAATAGACGAAAGGACTTACTCGCTGTGAAAATGGATGACGTCGGTGGTGAAAATAGATGACGTCGGTGTACTCGTAGTCGTAGATGGTCACGTCGGAAAATAGCCGCCGATAAATCGTTGAAATAATCTTGCTCGAAGGACCAAAACTTCTTATGTAGAAAAATAGCGCTGGTAACAATGCACATGTAATTTATTTAACATAGAAAAATACGAGTACATCTTCTTGATGTTTATATTTACATGGTTCTAAATGAAGTCCTAATTTTACATAATTTATTAAGCCAGGTAAACTCGCTGACAATAAGCGGGAATGCGCTAAGTGGGGGTGCGCGCTGGCTACAATGGATACCCTTAAACTAGTTTTTAAACAATTTTCCGAAAATCGTCCTGTAGAGCTTTTTTCATTTGCGATAGGTGAATTTCCACTGGGTTTAATATAAAAGCGTATCTTCACAATGTTTCAATAAAAACATTTCGAAAATGATTTTGATAGTCGTTTCGCCCTTTCGCTCATTGCATGTAAATGTCTTTTTTATTGTAGTTTCTCTCTCTGGATCGTAGTTATTTTTCTACCTCAAATTCGTTCAAATTTTGTGAATTTCGACTGTAAGCAAGCATAAACCTATTGCATTTTTCTGTTTGAATTTCCACTTGAATTGAAATTGAAAATTTACATGCAGTATAGGTAAGCCTGAGGTTTGACACCATAGAATAATTGTTTTCGTAAAAAGTAAGTCTCAGTTTCGTTTGATACTTACAAGTTAGATAACAGCATATTAAAAATACAACCTGGAAATTAAACGGTGAAAATATGTCTAGTATGGTAGATTTCTTCTATCTGAAGTTAACCCCAAAACCCAGCTTCTACTTTTAAAAAATGAAAGTGTAACAGATTGTCGACTCAAGAAATATTGAATATGGAACGGCTAATCCTTCAAATACAATAATATAGACGCAGCTCACGTCTTCCACTCACATCATGAGCAATAATCCCGGGTTATTTTTCTATCAATCTTAATACATCCCCGGCATGTGCCGTTAGCACCCCCACATTAAATAAAAATGTGATGTTTTACATTTCCATAATACCTTCCCGGTTTTTTCTCCGAAAATGCATTCAATCGTAATATTACTGTAGACTTTTCATTTTCAATATTCATGCTCCATCAGCTTAAACTATTCCGTCTGAAGATATTTCGCTTAAAAATTTTACGCGGTTGTAATTTTCAGTACCGACAACGTTCATGTTTTGCATATTCATGATTATTAAAGTTGGAGGTATTTTACAACCGTAAGTAATATATATTTGCGCGCATTTTTTACATATGGGGCCTAACCTAAAAAAAATGTTTCCCAATAAAAGAAAAATGCTAAAGGAAGTCTAATAAATTTCTGGAGAATGTTTACTATGTTTCCCATTTTTTCTGCATGGGCGGGCACTTATATTAATATTGTTTTATTCTTTGCGCAAAAAGCTGATGCAGTCAAATGAGTCAAATTGAATATTGTTATAATGAGTAATTGCATATATACATCTAAAACGCTATGGATAGACCAATTATTCAAAATAGAACAGACTTTTCTTGTTTTGTGTTATTATGCTCTGTGATTTACACCTTTTCCGCGTCTGAATCTGAACTATTCAATTGTACTTATTGTAAACGGAACCGACCATTCAAATGTCGCAGATATTTTTATTACAACTCCAATATTTTCCGCTTGAAGTAAGAAGCAACTTACAAAGGGTATTTTGCATAATGCAACACGAAGCAGAATATAAAGGATTCCCTACCGTACTAATTAATAACATTGAAGTTTGTAATTATAATCCTTTGAGCAAGCAAAGTGTGCTGAACGATTCTATAAAAAGTTCAATTTCGCGAAACGTTTTGTATAAATAAACAGAAAGTTCAAAAATGTGTGTTAACAACTAACAAGACGTTTAATAGCTTGAAACAGGCTCTATATGTAGTCATAAGAGTAACGTTACTCTATTTTATACTTTAATTTGCAAATTGTGCAGGTCGGCCTTAGTATCCGCTCAACAATAGAATAACAGTTCAGTTAATTATATTGTAACTAACATCAAAATGGAAATAGAAAGCTATACCCTTAAAAGGACGGTCGAATTAACTACTCGTTCTCTGAATGCGACATTACGAAAAATTAAATCTCATGACTAAATCTACCAGCACCATCCGAGCAGGAAGACCTTTATTTTATTAAGGTTTTGGGTATAGACAATGGCAAAGTTACAGAAGATGGGGTGACCAAATTCATCCTATTAACTTGAAGTTTTTCTTCTAAACATCAAAAATTAAGAGCGTCTTAAAAGAATGTAGGTAAATAAGTTGGTGCTTATAAATTTCGAACTGTATCAAACTTTTAGAAAAGGATCCGCGTCTTTAGAAAAGTTAATATTCAGTACAAAAGACAAATTCTACGTCCTTTTATTTTTGGAATTAATCTTATAGCAAAAAAAGTGTCGATCTCATAATCTGTTCTTTGAATAAACATTTACATTGCGTCATACTCGAGTAATATTATAACATTTTACGCACAAAATCTTATTACTGACGAAAAAGGTTTTCGAAATCGGCTTAAAATTTAAAAAAATCTATTCAAAACAACTTTCAATAACGACACGTACTCATTCACTATACTTGTTATATTAAAAGCTGCCAACAAATGCGCTTCGGAACTTTTCAATTTCTCCAAATGTAACGGAGACGGATTATTTCGAATTGCTCTTAAAAACCAGGACGCTATTTCAGTTTCTCTATACACTATACGTCACCTAAACGTTTGATGAACGGCGCTCAAAAGAATGTCGAAATTAAAGTCGGTTTTTTGACATTTATATTTGGATATGTTGCTCCAAGAAAAAGGACGAGTAAATCATATTGCTTATATCTAAAATAATGTAGTCCTTGCAAAGAAGCATATGTGATAAATTTTTCCATCCTTATAAGCATTTACTAGTGATGTGGATTGTAAAATAACGATTTGTAAGTTACATAAAAAACGGTTATATTACGCGTAACTTACAAGAGGCCGGTTTTTTTATGTAATTTATGTCTTTTATGAAACTTACGTTTTTAATTTAAAAAACCGTTATTTTGTAAGTTACATAAATGTAATACCTATTTAATACATTTTGATCGGTACTACCAACGTAAACGATTCACCGTTGAATTTAGTTTGGTTTAATGTTTTTATTTTATTTTCAAACACAAAATTCAAAACGGTTTATACAATATTGAAAAAAAACATAAAAAACATAAATTACAGGTAATTTTACTGTAAAATTGCGGTTTTTATTAAAAAAAAATGGTAAGTTACATAAATTACATAAAATACATAAAAAACATAAACAATTGGTAATTTTACACGTAATATTACGCACTTAAAAAAAACGTGTAGGTAATTTAAAATCACTAGTTTCTAGTCTATAACTTTTGATTGAGAAGTCTGATCGAAAAAGTACGAATTGATTTGGATTCTACGCACCTAAATTGATAAGAAAAAGCGTTTTCCCGAGAAATTTTGGTGTAGTCGATTTTTGGTAAAAAAGGAAGGTTATACACTGCCTTTTTTTGACCCCGAAAAAAAATTGTCTCAGTTTGACACGGAAAAAAATTTTCTTATAGAATGTGGCCTGTTGAATCCATAAATTCAAACAGTTCCAAGATTGGGCTACTGGTTCAAAAGGTACAGACCTTTGAATTTTTTTTCGAAATTGGTTTCTAGTCTATAACTTTTAATTGAGAAGTCTGATCGAAAAAGTACGAAATTGATTGTGGATTCTAACGCACCTAAATTTGATAAGAAAAAGCGTTTTCCCGAGAAATTTGGTGGTAGTCGATTTTTGGTAAAAAAGGAAGGTTATACATCTGCCTTTTTTTGAAAGCCCCGAAAAAAATTGTCTCAGTTTGACACGGAAAAAATTTTCTTATAGAACATGTGGCCTGTTGAATCCATAAAATTCAAACAGTTCCAAGATTGGGCTACTCTTTATCAAAGTACAGAACCCTTTGAATTTTTTTCGAAATTGGTTTCTAGTCTATAACTTTTGATTGAGAAGTCTGATCGAAAAAGTACGAATTGATTTGGATTCTACGCACCTAAATTGATAAGAAAAAGCGTTTTCCCGAGAAATTTTGGTGTAGTCGATTTTTGGTAAAAAAGGAAGGTTATACACTGCCTTTTTTTGACCCCGAAAAAAAATTGTCTCAGTTTGACACGGAAAAAAATTTTCTTATAGAATGTGGCCTGTTGAATCCATAAATTCAAACAGTTCCAAGATTGGGCTACTGGTTCAAAAGGTACAGACCTTTGAATTTTTTTTCGAAATTGGTTTCTAGTCTATAACTTTTAATTGAGAAGTCTGATCGAAAAAGTACGAATTGATTTGGATTCTACGCACCCAAGTTAATAAGAAAAAGTGTTTTCCCGGGAAATTTTGGTGTAGTCGATTTTTTGTAAAAAAGGAAGGTTTATACACGGCCTTTTTTTGAGCCCCGAAAAAAAAATTGTCTCAGATCGACCTGGAAAAAAAATTTCTTATAGAACGTGGCCTGTAGAATCCATAATTTCAAACAGTTCCAAGATTGGGCTACTAGTTCAAAAGTTACAGCCCTTTGAATTTTTTTTCGAAATTGGTTTCTAGTAGTGATGTGGATTGTAAAATAACGATTTGTAAGTTACATAAAAAACGGTTATATTACGCGTAACTTACAAGAGGTCGGTTTTTTATGTAATTTATGTCTTTTATGAAACTTACGTAACTCACGTTTTTAATTTAAAAAACCGTAATTTTTGTGTTACATAAATGTAATACTTATTTGATACATTTTGATCGGTACTACCACAGACCA